GCCATCAGTACATGGATCAAGAAGCAGGAGGCACGGCCTCCAGAGCACGCTGCTAAGGCAGAGCCTGTAGGCATGGGAGATAAAGAATACAGTGGCTATTTTGGGAAGATCACAAGTGTACACTACATTACAATTAAAGTAATGAAGAGGGGAAACAGTGAGAACCCTAAGTAAAATCTTCCCAGCAGATGTAGCCACATAATTAGTGAAATATATGGAATTAAAATCAAGCCTGCTTCCACTCTTCACCTCAACAAGACAACCCAGGATACCCTTTCCCAAGGTCAATGTTATCGTGTAACATCTTCCTAACTTGATAAGTTTGGAATTTAAATTGAACAAATTTGGATTTCCTCAGTTTAATACAGAAATAAACAAGTTGACCACTAGCAAAGTTTAAATTAGTATTTCTTTGGAAAATAGGAGCATTTGAATGTCCTCTACCTATCATTTAACTGCAGGCTAGAGTGCTAAATTTCCTCTGACTCTACCTCATGCCTGTAAATCTTCCAGCCAGTCATTAACTGCCTGGTAAAGGACTGGCACCTCATATATTGTCACTTAATTATGCTATGCTACATTGGGCTTCCTAGGAGGCACTCATTTAGCACAAAAACACCTCTAAAGAAAACCATGTAGACAGACTGCCCGAGCCAGAGACGATGAAGAATGCTGCTGACAGGGGAATAGAAATGACAACTAAAACAGCCTTTGGAACGGAAGGAGAAACCGTAGCGACAGGGAAAAAGAAACCAAGCATGGACATTTGAACCATCAGATAAACAGCAGCTGACAGGACATTTTAGATCTGGAAGGAGGGGGCAGAGGAGAAGGAGGAGAAGTGCACCAAAGTGGAAATAGAAAATTACCCTCCTGAATGAACGAGATGTGTTTGGAATGAGTCACAGGGGAAGGCGAGTGCAAGCATCAGCAAGTTGAGAAGCTGACTGCGCGGTACCTTGCTCCTGAACCCGGTCCTGAGAAACGAGAGACGGCTGAATAAACACAATGAGAAAAACAGCCTGTTCTCACTTCCTACCTTTGCCACGCTGAAATGAAAATGTTCTCTGGGCACAGCCCTACGAGCACAAGGAAGGCACCACCACCGCTGACTTCAACACTGGACATTCAGCACCTCAGAATTGCCCTTCCTTCTTCTCACTCCAAAGGGATGCCTGGGTCCTTCCTGCTGTGGAAGGAAAACTAGCCCTGCTCTTGCACCATACACATTGGCTTCAGGACCTATTGCCAAAAAAACCCGGACCAGAACTGAACATAAAGGAGCCAGATCGGCCAAGGATGTGAAACAATACCAATGCTGCCACGTGGCAGTAACACACACACACAACTTCCCTCAGCCACTAGAACCACTGTGGATGCTGCCATGGATGGGGCATTTACAAAGAAGTCTGCGGGAAGGCAGAATTGTATCTTTGGCTGCTCCACAGCCGAGAAGGATTTGGAGTATTTATGTTAACAAATGGCTGCAGCAGAAGCTTTCCTCCCCTCCCACCTGGCTGAAGTTTATTTCCCCTCCCCTTGGTAAGCATCAGAATTTCTCAGTCCCAGTGACATCTACCAAACTGAAAACCACCACCCTTCAAAGCACAGTTGCAACTGCTGTGCTTGGCAGCTTTACACTTAACTCTGGCGTCACTCTGCTACATCAAGCCATGGGACACAGTCAGGAATTACGTGGAAATTGCCAGTGATGGCTAACATTGAAGTAAGATCTTTTTCCCCCACAAAACCAAGTTTTCATATGATATTACCAAATTTAGGGTGGTGCAAATCAAGGTGGAAATTCAGGTTCAGAACCTAAGGTGCATATACTCATAGCCCTAATTGGACTGAAGAAATGGTCTCATTTTTTTCCCCCCTATTTGTTATTGATTGATAGTTTCTACTTAGGAAGAAATCCCACTGCCTAAGAAAAACACAAATAATGTGGCAAGCAGTGAGAAACTTGGTTTGGTCCACATCTTTGATTCATCTCTTGAAGACTGATCAGGAAAAGCCTGCCTTGAATCCATGGATAGTAAGGAATTAGGGATGCAGCCTGTCTACATAAAACTCTATGTTTGCTACCATCACTGCAGACGAGGAGCCTCCTCAGTGCTGAAGGTGTTTGCTGAATGGCTTTGTGTTGGTACCTGTGCAATGAGGCAGGCACTGTTAGACAAGCAATTGCCTTGCCTTATGTGCTACTGAAATAATTGCTACAAATGGCGCTTAAAGGATTTCTAAAGCAAGAGGCAGCACTGGTGTGCGTTCCTCCGAGCTGAAGAAGTGACTTGAAATCTATCCTTTCCCTTTCCTTATCTCCACATCACTTTGCCAGCAAAGGTCAATTACATGCTCACAAACAACCAGCTCATAGAATTTGCACTATTAGCGAAACCTTAGTCACCAGTTCCTGCTGCCTGCAAGTATAAAAAGCAGCAGCACTGCAAGGCTGTGTTAGAGCTGGTCAGGAAATTATACCCCCACTTCCCAACCCACACAAAAGCATTTTAGGAAAATGAACAATTTCCAATTTAATCGAAGTTTCCAGTTTACATGCAGAGTTAAATTTTGCTTGGTTTTGGCAAATAAGCCCTTTCCTCAGTTCAGTAAGTTTTAGTGTTTTTTGAAGACAGCCTAGAAATTCAACCCAAGTGGAAAGTTTTCATTTAGGTTTTTCATTTCATCAGAAAGTTTTGTTTCTCCCATTCCACAGACTTTTGACCAAATTAACCAACCAGCCTCACAGGAAGTCTCTTTCAATACACAGGACTTCTACATTCTTATTTATTATGACACACTCTGTTCACACTGTACTGCTCACAATCAAGAATCAACATCCTAAATATTTATCCTGAGCTTTTTTTCACAGTATTACTTGTAAAGGTTGATATCAACTTGTAAAGCTTATTCTAAAACACTGCAAATAGGCTTTGAAACTTTCATTGTACATGTCATGGAACAATGCTGATACCAACATTTTGGACAGCTTTTTACATGTACTAACAGTACACAAAATCTGAAGAGATTAGCATCTCGCTGCAAAACTAAAGGCAGATGACAAGGCTTCAAATAAATTACAGCAGCATAAATCTGTTCTGTTTTCAGTTCACTGAGATCTCTGGACACACCCAAGGGCTGTCTTTGTTTTTTTTTTATTATAGGGAAAGAGAAGAAAAATTCACACAAAGGTGCTGCATACAAGGAGTTTCCAGATCTTAGAGTAGTTCCACTTTTAAAGAAGGTGAATATATATATATATACTTTTTTTACATACGTACATATATATATATAGGATGCAAACACAGTAATTGCCAGTCAGACTTTGTGTCTATCAGAAGGTATTTGTGTTACTTCAGGGGACAGAAATGTCCTTTAGTACCTGGTAGTTTTCAAACATAACTGTCAGAAACTGTGCAAATCAGAATCTACAAGTTTTAGCAATTCAAAATTAGATTTGCCTGATCTCCTCAGTGCAACTTTTACCTCCATTTTGCTTGTAACCCCAGTCCACAAACCTCTGTCAAAACTACCAAACTGAAAATGGAGTAAGATAACAAAAATCAAAGCAATAAACTGTTCTGTGTCTACTCCCTAACATGGATCCCAGTGTCATGGATCCCTATCCTTTTTCCATAAATTAATGTCCAAGACACCCCAAACTGCAGCTGAGTGTTGGAGGTAGGCAAATGTGTTGGCCCAGCAACTTCACAGCAGGATGGGATCTTCAGAGCAAACACATGCTGGGCTGGAACTTACTGTTAATGGGACAAATTCTCAGTGGGAAAATCCCACCAGCTCTAATGGAGCTACATCACATGGGGATTTGGCCACACTGTTTTTATGTTCTTTCCTCTGCTGCTTCCTTAAGCACAGTTTAAGTCTCAACTTTTACTAGAAAATTTCCACTTGGAGAAAATCCAGGCCCTGTTTCTAAGGAAAGATAAGGACTGTGGCATTAAATGGTGTGAAAATAAATCATCTTCCACAGTACTTCCCTCAAAGTCTCACTGTGCCCATTAGAAGACCAAATGATACCTGTGGTAAATATCTGAACTTAACTATTGCCTGTGATGGATACACATAAAGCAGTTTCTGCAGTTTTTATAGAAGGCAAAAAAATATATATTTAAAAGAGATTTAACAGTTGCATGCCAAGTTATATGTTCTGTAAAATACTGTTTTATGGAATATGCTCAGGTCATCCCAACAGGGGAGAAAAATCATAACTATTTTTCCTTGCTTTGTTTTGAAACAGTAAATATTGTCACCCTGAAGGCCATTAAAGTGCTCACTATATAGAGACTACTTATTTCAGCAGCCATAGTTAAGCTGCACATATATACTGTGCTTTCTCCTTGTATTTATCAATATCCTACAGAAAGCTGCATGTTCCTATGTAAGAGCACATTTTATTAATCTATGCTGAAAAATACACACCTCATGTTTGGCAAAAAATTAGCCAGGTAATCATTTAACAAACTGCACCATATTTCAGAATGGTCCACGGATACAAAAAATACACTTTATCCCTAAACATGGTTTAGCCCAAGTCTCCTCGTCTCAGCAATAAGAGATTTATTAGGTATTTCCAAAAAGGTTTCTCTATCACAATTCCTAGTCAAACACACCAGGAGGATAACACATTTAATGTTATCACTCAGGAAATATCATGCCTTATACCAATAAACCAGGACTTTCAGGGACAAAAGGAAGGGGGGAAGATAGACCTTTTTAAGCCTTTAAAGATTTGTCAAATAAATCTCATTATTATAAGAAACTTGACATTATAAATGAGCTTTTGATAGAATATCTCACTGGGTACTTGCAAACTCTGTAATAAAAATCAATTTAGACTTTCCAAAAGACTACTATAAAGTGGATATGAATGAGAATTAAGGACAAAAGACAATTAAATCCTGTCTCTAATACATTCTAAAGAGCAGAGTGCTGTAAATTGAGTGTAAAGCAAGTTGATAATGGATTTATCATGCTTACCTACTCATAACATCAAACTGGTTGAAGAAGAAGTCCTCTTGGAACCCAGATCAACCAAGAAAACTGCACAAGTAGGAGTATTTTAGTGAAATGACAGAGTAATTACACTGCATTTTTCCAGAAATCAAAGTGGCACTTGGGCAACAGAGATTTTTACAGCATATATTCAGTGGTCTCAGAATAGACATGCTAACCCAGGTTCTTTATTCGGTTTGAGGAGTCTTTGTTGTGTCATCAAAATAAAAATAGTAGTAATAAGCCATTGTTTTGTGGCAATATTCCTATTTGTTCATAGCTGAGGATGTTTTTATCTGGCAAAAAACTAAAATAACCTCACGGTGAGTAGAATGTATAGGCTTGTACAAAAGTATCACCTCACAAAAGCAGAAATGTCTCTGTGCTCAGGTTCAAACTGAACCTCTGTGGGAGTTCAAGTGCAAATTATGTAAAACTCGTTGGTTAAAGTCTGCATTCCCACATTACTACACAAAGCACAAGCGAAAACAAACTTGCACTACAGTTCAGCACCACAATATTCCGAGACTGGCCAGTCCTGGGGTCCTCCTCACTCTTTGCATCAGGAGCTATAGGAAACAACAAGGTACTGTGGGTTATGGAACCATTCTCCTAGAACAGTCTGATTGGAAAATACTGTGCTTCAGCTAAGCTCTTGCCAAACCCCAGACTGACACATGCCCCAGGGGCTAGATCAGTAGCACAGACTTAGCAAACCACCTGGAGACATCTTCATGACTATGGATTTTTTTCTTCAGAAACCACCAAGGCCACATTTGAAAGATCCCTACCATGATTAAACTCCATGGTGCAACCCAGACCAACAGAATTTGAACATGTGCAAGCAGATATTTCTGCTCTGGTTTTCCCTTACCCATTCCTCTGGTATCAAGTATCATGCCTTGCTTTGTGCCTCAAGGCTTCAGGTAAAGTTAAAAATCTAGCCTGAGGATCAGTCTTTCCACTGATAAGAGAAATTTCAGAGCCTGTATTTGCATACCACCTGGAAGAATACAGTCCAGACCAGGGTATCCTCACAGCATCCCCTTCTACAAGATGTATGCTAGACCTTCCCTGAGACCAAGAGCCAGGAGATAACCTTGGAAAATATTTCGGAAGGAATTTGGTACCCGAGTCCCTTTTGGGGAAGGAGCAACCCAGGGGACTTGCTGCAGATCAAAGCTTCCAGCCATGATTGCTCTAAGTCCAGGATATGCAACAAAGAGCACAAAAAAAGTGCTCTCATATGAAGTTTGTAGAAAGAGGGGTGTTTGAAAAGCTCATGTCAAAATCAAAACCAAGCTGAACTTATCTAGTTTAAAGCTCTTCTCCACAGTCAAATAGAAATATAAGCCTATCATGTGTGAATGAATTCTGAATTATTTAAGCTGCCTAACAAATTTAAAATGAAAATCAAGCACCCCTGCGAAAAAACTAAGAATAGTGTCTGAAGTTTCACAGGAGAAAAAACTTTACTTCCGAAACTTGGAAACAGCCTTTGGTATTTTTGGTTCTTTTTATCACCTCACAACAAACAAATCCCTTTGATTTTTAATAAACCCAGTTGTATTTTCTACAATTTGCATGACTGACAATTCTTAAAGCAAACAACACCAAAAAAACAAACAAAAAAAATCTTCAACTTCAAATACACCAAGCTCAAAATAGAATTTTGGAGAAGATCATTTTTATATGGAAGTCATCAAATCACAGAGAAGACTGTTTTTGCAGCCTGTTGTTCTCCAGGGCTTGTTCTTTGAGCAACTTTTCCAAGAGCAACATTGGTTCTGTTTGCAATTCATCTCTCCAGTGAGCATTTTTAAACTTGAAGAAGTGGCAGTGGGGAAAAAAAGAATAAAAAAAAAGGAGAGGCCAGAAGACAAAAATGTGGACATATTTAAAGCAGGGGTCCTACAGGAACGAGAGGGTTCAGCTTTGCGTGCATGTGAATGTATTTTAGATTTGAAGGAAGTCTCGCTTACAAGGCAAAACCGCTGGCGGTGTGAATTATATGAGTCCAACTTCCTCCAGTTTGGCAGGGTGGTGAGAGCCCTGCGGAAGGCAGCCACTGTGGTTTGACTCTCACTGATAATAGCCGACCCTCCCCTCCACCCCCTGAAAACTCAGCTCTCTAAAAATAAGAAGGAAGCAAAAGGAGAGCATTTCCTTGCCAACGCCAGTAGCTGGGAGGCCTGGAATGATGCCATTAGATACCCTGCTATTTATTGCCCATTTCCACCCCATAGGAAGCTTGGGGAAGTAGTTGCCAAAAGAAAAAAAGAAGGGAGAAAAATAAACCTTCCTGTTTGGCTTAACATTTGACAGGACAAAGATAATTCTAGCTCTACATTTTGCACGTTCTTGCCCACAGTTGTCTTCCTCCAGAGGTTCCTTCTGAAAACAAACAAGGATTTTTATACATCACTGCTTTCAAAGCAAATACAGGAAGTATCTTCTCCAGTCTCCTTTGCTGCTTCACTCCCTCTTCTCTGGGCACTTTCATTCTGGACAGCATAAAACCAGAAGCATTAAAATATATATGCTCATTAGTTCAGTTTCCTTGAGAAATTACTTTTTCATCAATACCAAAAGTTTTGCAAGTTAGTTGTAGTTTTAACAAGTTGTCTTAAATCAAAGACACATCTCTGGGGGAAGCAGTGGGAAAAGAGCAATTAAATGAAGATAACATTATTTGTTATGTCCTCTCTGTCCAGACCAGAGAGGATTCAAATTGGTCTCCTGTCTGCCCAAGGAAGGCCATACCCGCGAGGTTAAAAAGGTACTTCAACACCTTCTCCTGAAGCTGTTCCACTTTATTTTAATTGAGGATTAATTAAAAGGATCAAGAGAAACTATCACCTGGTGGAGCTAAGCTAGTCACCTAACCCAGGCTCTCCAAAGCCTGCTCCTTTGAGGAGTTACAACTTACATCAGAAATGACAATAAAACAGAAAAACTTTCAAAGCTGAGATTAGCTGAGTGTCTGGAGACCTATTTTAAGTGTCTGGTCCGAACTGAAGCTGGCTAAGAAATGGTCCTGGTAGAACTTAATTCCAGTGCAGAAGCAGTCCAAGCATTGATGTGGAAGAGTAACCACCCACCTACTCCAGCCAGGCCACCAGTCTGAGCGATCAGGACTGGGCAGATTGAATCCTGCCTGATCCACAGCCTACAAACATGCCACAGGACAATAGAAACTGCATATGGTGGGAAACATGTGAAAATGCAGCACCCCAGGACAGGGTGGGAAGCTTGTTTCTTGTCCTGCTAACATTTTTAGGATTACGACAACAAATTCTTCTGCACCAGGACACAAAAGAGGAGACAGAGTGGGAGATGTACCCTCCAACCCCTCCTCTGAAAAAGAGGCATCCACACAGGACAGCCAAAAAGCCCAGTAGTCAGAGCTTGTAACACTGAAGGAACAGGAACCTGAGAATCAAGACCTCATGTTTGGCAGGCACATCTCCTGCATTCCCAGGAAAAGCTTTACCCTCCAGGGTATTGGCTATTCTGAGCTCTCTGCTCTGGCTTTCTGCAGGAACTCAGTGCCAGATCACAGAAATTTTTCCACGCAAAAGTTTCATCCAAAGTGACAAGTTTCCATGAAAAGTTTTGATGAAAAAAATGTTTTCTTGGAAAATTCCTAGCAAGCTCTAATCTTCATGTTAAATCATGGCCATGGATTTACAGCAGTGTGCTGCACACATGCTGACTGCAGCCTAGTAAAACTGCACTGAGCTCTGGTTCCTCCTCCACCCCTCCTTTGGGACATGTAAAATCTTGCAGCCTCTGGGTCCTATATAACCTCCTGGTCAAAAATGTAGTAAGTTTTTTTTGTTCTTTATTGTTATTAATCAAACTCCTGTTATTTCTCAGGAGCAAAGCATCAAGACCTGCGTTTTGTAACTTTCCCTCTTGTTTTCACCTAGTCACACCAAGACATTCCCCCAGCAGGGATCATCTCAGATATCTTCCCTGAATGGTGTGGCACAGATTTTACAGGCACAGAAGGCTTTCTGTTACTTGCAAAGGATTACAAGCAGCTGAAAATTCTTCCCTTGCTCCCTGCTGTTTTGGAAGCACAGTGCCATCTTTCAAAATACGCAGGGACAGTTGAAAACAGTGATGAATTTCCCTCCAATGCAGTGCACAATATCATGGAAGCTGCTTCTGTAAATACAAGTGTTTGAATTGCAATTCTCAGCTTTAATAGGATTTCTGCTTGCATAGAAATTAAATTATACTCTCTTGGCAGCTTTCCATTTCAAGGGGAAATGACATCTTTCTTTCACAAGCAATAAAGATCAGGAGGCTGTTTAGCCCCCCACACTTCAGGTTTTTAGATGGATGGTTTCCAGTTTTTTCCAAAAAGTCCAAAACCTTGCCACTCGCGTTCCCATTATTTCCTCCTTTCAAAGGACAGCACTGAAGACTCAGCACAAAGCTACCTCTGATTGCGTGTTATACATACTAGAAACTCCAGATCCATGTTAAATTTGGGCTGAAGCACAACACAGTTGTCATACTGACAACTAAAAACTTATGAAACTCATACATTTCTACATGCAACAGACAAAGAACAGACACTGATGGCTAATCTGTCTTGAATTATCTCATATTTGATGTAGGCCAAGTGCAAGCACGTGGACAGTTCCCCTGGAGCAAGTGTTGTGCAGTAATGTTGTTTCACAGCAACTCATCTGCATGCTAAACCTTTTCACTTGGAGCTATGGCTCAGTCAAGGCACAGTGTCGACCTGACCTTGACAAGAAGGAGATGAAGGAATCGTGAGCCCTCAGCCTCTGAGCAGAGATTTCTTCCTGGACAGGTATTAAACCCAGGAATGTTTATTTTTAAATATACCTCTGAACAGTCAGTGTGCATGTGAAACAAACCTAGGAGGGGAATATATATGGGAGCTGTTCAAGTTCCACATACAACCAACACCACTGATTCTACACAGTTTTCTCTCACTTGAAGATAATCAAGTCTTGTGATGCCAAAGCTTCAAACACCATTCTCTCCCAGCACTAAATCCTGAGAAA